AGCTTGCGGACCACGGCGTGCTCACGGCCGGTGGCATCCTCACGGCGGCGGCGTGCACGCAGAGAACGGCATGCTCGCGGCCGATGGCATCCTCACGGCGGCGGCGTGCACGCAGAGAACGGCGAGCTTGCGGACCACGGCGTGCTCGCGGCCGGTGCCATCCTCACGGCGGCGGCGTTTGCGCATAGGACGACGAGCTTGCGGACCATGGCGTGCTCGCGGTAGTTGGCGTGCACACCGAGAACGGCATGCTCGCTGCCGGTGGCGTCCTCTCGGCAGTCTGCGTGCACGCCGTGGACAGCAAGCTTGCGAAGGACCGCGTGCTCATGGTGGGCGCCCAAGAGGAGAAAGACGGCGTCGTCTAGGTGGAAGCGAAGGACAACAGCCAACAGGCAGAGGAAGTGGACATCGTCCTCTGATGCTTGCGTTGGAAGGGCATGCACTCACGGAGGACGCCGCTCGTGTAGGACGATGATCCATGTTCCATGCATGCATGTGGCGAACAAGAGAAGTGCGGAAGACAGAGGAGAAGCGTGCAATTTGCTCTCTTCATGGGACTTGATTTATGGAGTGGTTCTCTTAGTTTTGGCGGGAATTACAAATCCGTGGCGGCAAACTAATTTTTGCAGCTAATTTTTGAAGCTACTCCATGGCGGCCTGCTCGGTTTAGGAGGGAACTGGAATTTTGCTGGCTCGCATGCAGCGCCGGAGAAAGAGATAGAAGTCCGCATGCAGCGCTGGGAACGAGGCGAGAGGAAGGAGAGCCAATCAAGGTTGCATGCACATTTATTAGCACCAGCTGATCTCATTCATGCGCGTAGGGCCACAGGGGCAATCTCGTCCAGAAAACAGCCAGCGACCCATGTCTTGGTATGCGAGTTTGCTCTTAGACGCAGAGAAAAAAGGACCGGAGGGAGTACTATGTTATGAGACTTGGGTGTGTGTATGGATTAGTCCTTGTATGTGTGCTCTCTGACGATTTGCTTTATTTATAAAGTGGGGCGAAAGCCTTTTTCAGTAAAAATAGTCTAGATCGGTCGTATATGCTTACCTAGTGTTTGTATGAAATGGAACTCTGTTGTACCGTCCGCTATGGCTGCCTGTGTCTCGAGGATATGTCCAAACGCCGTTAATCTATAAAGCTCTGCTTTGCCTAAAAAAAGAAACAAAGGCGCTCTGTGTCGGGGAAATTACTCGCCGCCGGGCTCCCGAAGTCCCGATGGCCCTTGGCCGACTGACTCGAACTCTCGAAGGAAACGCCCGCAAAAAGAAAGAAAAAACTCTTGAAGGAAACGCTGTCTCCCGGCGAATGTTCGCACCCAAGCCCATTTTCACTTCCTCCCACGCCTCCGACTCCGACCACCGCCCGTTTCCAAATCCCCAATTCCACCGCCTCTCAAGCACCAACACACGCCGATCTCATCGGGAAATTTGGCCAGTTCGTCGCCTGCGCGCCGACTCGAAGGAAATCCTAACCCTAGCTCTTGCACCATGGCGACCTCACTGGTGGCGGCGGCGGAGACGGCGCTGGAGGATCTGCCGGAGGATGCGCTGCTCGCGATCCTGGCCTTCCTCGCGCCGGCCGACGCTGCCGCCGCCGCCTGCACCTGTCGCGCCCTCTTCGCCGCGGCGTCTTCCCCGGCGCTCCCGCTCGCGCTCGCGCTCCGCCTCGGCCTCCCGCCCCCGCGGCCCTCCCCGGAGGCCTGCCCGGCCTCCGTGCGTCGCCTCTTCCGCTCCCTCCACCGGCTACGCCGCCTCCTCGGCCTTTGGCGCCGCCTCCCCTCCTCCCACTCCGGCTCGCCATCCCTCGTCGCGTTCGAGTGGGCTCCGCGCGCCACTCTCGCGGCCTCCCTCCTCGCACCCTCCAAGCGCGGCCTCGCCGTCTCCAAGTCCCCTTTTGTGACGCTCTCCGTGGCGGAATCCGGTGACACGGTGGCGGCTCTCGGAGAGGTTCCGGTCTGCGTCAACTTCGTCGGGGACAACCACATTGTGGTGGAGGCGGCGTCGGGGGAAGATGAGGAGGAGGGGATGGAAGGAGGATCGCCGCCGGAGGAGATGTATATGCATTTCGCGAACCGTAGGAGCCCCGGGGCAGGGAGGAGAAGGCGGGAGAGGCAGGGAAGGAGGAAAGGTGGTCGAATGGAGCCTGAACACTTTGTGAGGATTCCAGATGCTGAGCCAACCAAAGCGCGGCCGCTGCAGGGCCTGTGGAAGGTGCTTCCTTTGCACACAGAGCTTGCTAATCTGTTGTTGCATAGTATTCTCCTTGGAGTAGTTGATTTATATTAATACTCTTGGAGTGCATGTGGAATCGTTGCTGTTGCGGATACTGCGAAATGTAGTTGCTCGTGTGAGGAATTGGCATAGATCAGTTGTCTGTTGTTGCACCTATTAGCATAGGTCAGTTTTGGGAGCTTGCCATATAAGATCAGAATGTAGCCTGCACTCTTGTGGATAATATGTTTGTTCATGTGTGATTGCTCCGCCTTTCGAGCATCCGTACTTTGACATGAATTGCGTGCACTATACGAGGATTACTTGGGTATTAGTTTATATTACTCCTTGGCCAGGCGATCATCGCTATTATGTTGATTGGAGATGACTGAGATATATCTTGGATTGAAATAGCATAGCAGCATTATCTGTCAGATGTTGGCACTGAAAATTGGATATGTTAGTTATTGTGTAAATTGTTTTTGATTGAATGCTATAATCGAATTGCTGTCCATTTGCCCATGGCACAGTTTATGTAGTTTGAGATATCTGTTCAAGTTAAAATTGTGCGCATTCATAGTGTTTGCCCCAGGGCCTCTATGCTGACCTGCGTATCATGCACATGCTTGGAATTGAGTTTGAAATATCTGTTGAAGTTCGAATTCGCATGCTTGTTATGGTGGACCACACCCATGACTGTCAAAGGAGGTCACTTGGAATTGATTGTCGCTAAAGAGAGCATGAAGGTGTTTCTCTTAGAATTGAACTATGGATAACCTAGGTGCATTTAACTGTTCTTAAAATCATAGCCATTTGAAAATCTGATAACCTTTTTGAAGAAAAATTGCTCAGTGGCAGTCGTGTTGACTTTGAGTTCTTGTTAGAATAGCTATTTTTTGGTTTTCACAGATAGTGCTAATGAAAGGGTAAGGGCGGTACCACCAGAGGTGGTTTTCCTTGCTAGCATGGCAAGCAGTGTCTTTCATGGTTCACCGTTCATATCGCCCCGCGAACATATAATGCTGTGTGGAAGCTATGTCAGCAGTCAGAATCCCTGTTGTGTCAGTGTGGAACTATGTCAGCAGTCAGAATCCCTGTTGTGTCATGATACGAGAATGCATAGTCACAAGGCTGTACAGACTGAGAATGTGATTCTCATTGGATAGCAAAAGCTTGAAAACTTGGTGTAGTTCCATTTAGTGCTGCCGCCAGAACTAAGGATATAACATTACTGCCTAAGAGGTTTCAGTTCCTACTTGTTTGGGATGACTAGGACTTCTATCATGAAAGCTCAAATAAATGTTATTTTTTGGTTTATTTTGGAAATGGAAGGCTAGCGAAATTCGCAGGTTCAACTCCTCTGATATTTGTGATTTAATTGAGAAACTATCGTAAAGGCTGCATGGAATTGGCGGTGCAAGTAACTGTTTTTTCCATAGTCGCGATGTTAGAGTGCTGAATTTGACAAGTGGTTGCAGTACTGCCAGTGCAAAATTTTGCATCCCCATATGTCTCTGTGACTAGGAGCCCTGTTGGTGGATAGAAAATTGAAGAGAACCCTCCCTTACCATGTTAAGGCTTTGGAAAGTATGGGTTATTTCCTGTACATTGCTACTTACTAGTATGAGATCTCAGACAAGGTTTGCATGCAACTTCTAAATATGAGTTCATTTTTTGCTTTTTTCTCTCTATCTCTTGTTATGTGTAGCAAATTAGCTCATGAATGATAGTTCCGCAGTTATGATTTGCTGTTCTAGTTTGTTGTTACTGATTTTGTTCACAAGAAACTCTGATATGTTTATATCGTATATAGATTGTTTTCATTAGTATGTGGACATTGACATTGTCTAAAACATAATAGTCCAATAGAAGGTTAATGTGTGCCCCCTCAGTTCCAAAATAAGGGTTGTGGTTTTAGTTCAAGAACTAAAACCACGACCCTTATTTTGGAACAGAGGGAGCATATATCATCAGCTGATTTCTCAAATCACTTTTATTAGTTCACAGAATATCTTTTGTAATTTATAGGAAATATGATGTTAACCTTTATTTTCCTCAAACAGGGTGTATGCGAGAATAAGACTCTGGAATTTTACATTATCAGCTATGACGACATTGGTGGAATGACTTGTCGACGAGTTAGTGAGAATAGGGGCCAAAACTCAGGCTACTCCCCTGTCTTCTGGACTACAGATGCTACATTTCTTGAACCACCATTCTCTGAACAGGAGCTGGACCGTTATAGTTGCCTTGAGCATATTCAAGTTGTTACTTGTGGCCATACAGAGACATGGAACAAAGCAGTCTCTCGGATATTGTGCATCAATTCAAGTTTTGACCTAGTTCATCCTCATCTGTTAGCTCCCTTCGATGATACCAGTAATGTAGAGGGGAGGATTTGGCTTTATGAAGATGGAACCTTTGGGTTCGGATTCACCGGAAGCAATTCAATTATAGATCTCAACCATGTCTCCATGGATGGTTGTATTATTGATACTTCATACTAAAGAAATGTCCTTCTGGCATGTAATTGTTGCTAGGGCTAGGAAACCATCTGTACATCATTGTTAGGGAAATTTTTTGCATCTGGCATGAAGCATGTTGCCTCCAGTTGTTGTACTACTACTATAGATGGCAATTCGCCAGATCTGGCCCTTTGGTCTTGTACTTGTTCGTAGGATAACCGTGTATCCTGATACTGCACTGAATGGTGGTCCCTTCTGGCATTTACTTGTTGCTAGAATACCCTTGTAACATTATTACAAAATTTAATTCTCAATAAATGGAGTTGTTACTTCTTCGTAGGTGCTGTTTTGTTGTCCCATTTTAGGTGAATGCTGTGCCTTTAAGGGCAGCCTTGTAAAACTTTGCAACTTCCTGTGCAATTCATCTGATATTGAATGTTAATGTTATCTCATGATAATAGAGAAGGTTAATGTTGCCTTGTTTTCTTGTTTATTTAAGGTTTTTGCTTTTTGTCAAATGAACAAACTGGCCCTTGGTGTTGTAGAAAAGATATCAAGTGATTCTTATGGTAATAGTACTGTATTATAATAGCACCACTTTTTGCTCAGCTATCAAAATAATTGATTCACCACTATATCAGCTTAGCACTTCAGTTCTACTCCCTCTGTCCCATAATATAAGAGCGTTTTTGACACTAGTACCTCGCTGTGTGGATAGGTAAACATGTAATGTTCTACTCTTGCATATAGTTTCTCATAGTATTACTCGCAGTTGCATTTCTCAAGAGCATATTGATGGGGTTATGTACCTAGGGTAGGGTCATGGACCTGTTCCAAGTAACTTACCCTAGGACATCCCTAGAAGAGGTCGCCTTCCAGTCGACCAACGAGGATTCACTCGACTGGCCTGAAGGACTCGACCACGAAGACTCACTCGACCACCAGGAGGTCAAGAGGCACTCTGCACCGCAACGGCCTGTAATTAAGTAGACTTTATGATAGTAAAGGCACTTTATGTGGGGCGTTACCAGTAACGCCCCAGACTTAACTCACCTTAAACCCTCTCCTACGTGGGCTGGCTGGGGTCCTGGCGCACTCTATATAAGCCACCCCCCTCCACAGGCAGAGGGGTTCGGCACCTTGTAATCCATACATTCATAATCCACTCGACCGCCTCCGGGCTCCGAGACGTAGGGCTGTTACTTCTTCCGAGAAGGGCCTGAACTCGTACATCCTTTGTGCTTACAACCTCTCCATAGCTAGGACCTTGCCTCTCCATACCTACCCCCCACTCTACTGTCAGGCTTAGAACCACGACAGTTGGCGCCCACCGTGGGGCAGGTGTTTTAGCGATTTTGTGGAGAAGTTGCGATTCTTCCGAGTATTTTCATCATGGTGTCTGCTGGAGTTTTGATCGAGGGTCAAGAGATCCGTCTCGGCGCTCTCACCTTCATCGCCGACGACTCCGCATGGCTCCAGGAGGCTCCACTCGACGTAGATGCGCTCCCCGTCCGCGGTGCGACGCTTTTTCGCGCATGTGTCCGCGGCGTTCTGCTGCGGCAACCATCGACCCAGTATCGGTCGGATCTTCCATCTTCCACCCTCCCGGTCTCCCGCCAGCGCAAGCGCTCAGGCCGGTCGAGGCTTCAGCGATGGGTGAGTCACGCGGTGGCTCGCCAGTCGGCCACTACACAAATTGCGGCAATCGAGCCCAACGAATCTCTCTACGGCTTGTTCGATCAGTCGACTGGCTCCGGAGAGACTGCATCCGAGTGCGGAGGCAGTGATCCAGCGGCGGAAATCTTGATGGTCGACGGGCCCCACAGTCCTCCTGGCTTCGCCCGTGGTGGTGGAGCAGGCGACGGCGGCGACCCTGCACGAGGCTACGAAGAGTACCAGCCCGAGCCACTCGACTCTCTGCAAAGAGAAGAGCTTCGCCGCAGGAACGAGGATCCCCTGCGTGTTCCCATCGCAGGAGAAACCCCCGAGGCTCGTGCCTTGGAGGAGGCGCGTCTGGCCAATTTGGCCGAGCGCACTCGACTGGAGAACCTTCAGCGAGCACTCGACGAGCGCGCGCGGCAACGAGTTCCCGACACCAGTCGACGTCAACTCTTCCCGCCGACTCAGGTATATCGAACCCCAATTCAGAATTTAGCAGCTGCGACCCGTATAGCAGAGTCCATTCAGCCTTCGCAGTCAGAAGCTGGCAGAGGTTTGCTGCAGATCAG